GAGACAACAGTGTCGGAGGTGACAAATATGTTAAAAACTACAAAAAGTAAAATGCTATGTAGGAATAAAAAAAATTCAATTAAAATAACATGAAACAACGACAGGAACAACGAATGTAGAGCCAAAAAGAAATCATGTAAAGTGCGAATACAATTTGTGAAGAGAAATTTTCCGTTGTTACATAAATGATTTACTGTTTTGATTCAGTGAATACTCCCAGTGGTTGGACGCCTGTTACTGTTGTACCCGTATATAAAGAAAACACAAAACCCGAGAATAAGAGAGCAATCATATTACTAATAATATTCAGAAAACTTTTCACAAGCATTCTCAATAAATGTCTAAAAGCATGGGCGACACATGTTACACACGAATTATCAAAAAATGCCTAGCTGGCATTTTGGGAAGGATATCCCACTGTTGGCCACTTTTTCACACTCGGTGAAGTTATACAGAAGCGCCTATCTCGTGGTGGTCAGAAATTATACTGTCTGTTCGTAGATTTTCAAAAAGCTTTTAGTAGACAGAACATACCTCATGTATAGATTGGCTCTACTAGATGATATGACGGGAATTAAATGAAATCTTACTTTATTTTGAGCTTCAAAAAGTGTTTTGACAAGCTGTGTGCTAAGTCCAATCCCATCCAGCTTTCAAATAAAGTAATTGGAAAGTATGATATTTTCTAAAACAGTACTATATAAATTCACTAAAAAGTAGAACTTAAATGTAAATATGACCATAACAAAGTATGTTATGTGGTACGTTTTTTTTTTTCATTTTTGTATAGAATTATGTGCAGAAAAACACGGCGAGGTTATTGGATACAGAACTGTAGTGCTGACTGAATTTGAGCTGAAATTATAGTTTGTCAAGAAGTGCTTGCTGGTTGTACTGGTCTCTGCAATATATATGTTTAATAATTTGGAGATACTTAAGGCTGTAAATAAATAAATAAATAAATAAATAAATTAATTAATTAATTAATTAATTAATCAGAAAATTAATTAATTAATTAATTAATTAATCAGAAAATTAATCAATTATTTATATGTGTTAAATGACAGAGAGTATCGTATATTGTACAATGAATATACTCTTAGTACTTTAATTTGTGGGTAGGTGTTCAGCATACCAGTATTATGCATTGTTACTTCTAGCCTAACAATAGCAGTCATACATTTTTACTTTATTTTGAATATATTTGCTATGATTGAAAGTGTGTTTGACAGCGTAAAACTCTCATCATAAGAGTCGAATTCAATGCGTACTCAATGTGAATCTACTGGGATGAGAACACATTAACTTACCGTGTAAGGAGGTGGTAACTGTGACTGTACATGTAGGTACTGTTGATAGATAAGTGTAAATTAGTAAAGTGCATAGTTGAATGTCAATACAGGTAGGTTAGTGTATAATAAGGTGGAAAAAGTGCAGATTAATTGTTAATAGTTGCTGCAAAACAGAAAAACATCTTTGTAACATCATATCTGCATTTGAGCTTACAAGTCTTGACTTACTATGTGATTTGACGCACGTGACAACTTCTTATTATAATTTCATTATAATTTTACACATAAGTATAAAATACCTGTTGATTGGCGCCGCCATGCTGAGTATAGATCTGACTAGGTGTTTCCATCGTGTCTGAGTTTATAATAGGATCACATGGCTGGGGATGTTCAATCGCTCCATATCCAGACGTACAAACAACCGTGGCATTTGTTGAAACCGATATGACATTAATGAAGGAATTATTTTTACGGTAAAGACAATAAAGCAGCCACACAAATAGTGCGATAAATATAAGCATGCCCAATGCGATGGCCAACCATGCTTCTGGAAAATATAAATATATCATATCCACAGACTGATATAAGATTAGAATGTACGACTACGTTGTGTTATTTATTGTGTTTAATAAGACTGTAATAGTGTTTCAATCAACATATATATAGTAACAGTTACGAGTCCTGGATGAATCATACGTTATAACGCTAACACATGGAGAACCCAAGACTTTCATATATTTGTGTCGGATATTTTGATATCTCATTGAAATAGTCCAATACACCGCTGTAAAAACTCTATGTAAGTCATACTTACCCCAATTTAGGTCATCACTATCATAATCATAACCATAATCATAATCATAATCATAATCATCGCCATAGCAACATTCGGCCTAAGAAGACACATTCAATGTAAAACAATTATTTAGAATCCTGTTATGTGAATTTCGTGCATGATACAATTTGTCTGGTGTGTGGTGGATGAGGAATAACATAATGGTGGTTTTACAGTGATTGAATCACTAATATAATCTAATAAGATTTAATGGGATTGCCGAGTAGTGACAGT